GATAATCTACCTTAACCAAAATCAAAGTAGACTATCACTCACCCACACCAGATGGAAAACTCTACAGACTGTCGGTTCACACCCCATCACAAGCCAGCAAAACATCCATGAAACAAAGAAAGGTATATACTGGTAAGAACACTACTGAGGTTCGTGTGAACTGGTGGTTTGAGAGAAAAGAAAGGAATGAAATTGAGTGAAATGACCAAGAGTCCTGATTACGTTTGATTTCATTGGCCGATTTGTGAATCTTCTTTCTGTATGTTTTTTCCAGGCGAGCTCTTTGTATGGGATTTGAGCAGGGATGATCCCCAAAGAGGGGTATCAAGGATCAGTCATGTGAGTCACAACGAGCCTATAAGGCAGGTGCGTTCCTTCATGAAGCGTTCTTTGACTCAGATAATTCTCAGCAGCGTAGGTCTGAGCGAAGAAAGAGGGGGGGGAGCGGGCTTTTTTGTTTAAGTCTCCCAGGGCTCGTTTGTGCAAGAAAGGATGGGGGGACAGGGGAAGGGTGGCAGGCATGTGCATTCCTCAGCGGATTGTTCTTTGACTGGGATAATTCCCAGCAGGGTTGGTCTGCGCAAAGATAGAGGGGGGTGAGGGATTCTTTTTTTTTAAGTCTCGTACTTGTTCATGCGAGAGGGGATAGATGGGGGGCATGATAGTTGAGGGAGCTGCAATGTGCCAGCTGTGCAATGGGGGCAACACGAGAGATTGTTGAGGAGTACTACAGGATGCTCTGGAAACAGAAAGGGGTCAGAAAGAGTGTCGAGGGAGTGGTAATATGTTATCCATGCAAAGGGCAGAAGGAGGTGGGAGAGTGGGGAGTTGCGGATTGCTATGTGAGCAAGAAGAACGGTGCAAAAGGTGAGGTAGTGGTGCAGGCATATGCTATCTTTGTGTGTGTGTATATCTGTGCGTGTTTGTGCATGTGTATGTGTTTGTGTTTGTGCTTATGTTTGTGTGTTTTGGTGTGTGTGTGTGTGTGTGAGTGCGTGTGTGTGTGTGTGTGTGTGTTGCTATGTGAGCAAGAAGAACGGTGCAAAGGGTGAGGTAGTGGTGCAGGCATATGCTATCTTTGTGTGTGTGTATATCTGTGCATGTTTGTGCATGTGTATGTGTTTGTGTTTGTGGTTATGTTTGTGTGTGTGTGTGTGTGTGTGTGTGTGTGTGTGTGTGTGTGTGTGTGTGTGTGTGTGTGTAGTGGGTGGATGTTAACACGACAATCGCATAGACTGAAATGGTTTTCACCTTCGCAGTAGCAGATGCAGATCCCAGGGTTCGATCCCTAGACATGCCCTCAACCCGTGTACAGTGCACTTTGCCCCATCAATGTTTGAACCTGTGACCTGCCTCTAAAGTTGTCTGTCTAAGACCGTTGTAGATACAAGGGTTGAGTAGGTTTGAACTGCTTACCTGTAGGGTTGGAGTCTTAGCTTATGTCTGGTCGTAGCTGCTGTAGGTCCAAAGGGTCAACCTAGTCGTAGCTGCTGTAGTACCGAAAGGGCAAGTAGGAAAGTCTAGAGTCTTCCAGGACTGCCCCTTCGAAAGTCTCAGAAGCAGTCCGTAGGCAAGTGGGCAAGTGGGCAAGTGGGCAGACTTACCAGGTCTAGTCAGCGGTACCAGTCCCAGTCGCACCTTGTCCAGTCAGCAAGTACCATGTGGGCCTGTGTGCATCCTAGGCCCGAAGGAAAGGAGCAGACCAGCGACCAACTGAAGTAAAAATCAAGAGGCAGCGTCCAGTTATTCATTCATTCAGACTGTGAGTCGTGCAGAAGCGCTGCCTGAGCGACTTGTGCAAGGAGGTCTGCAGGTGCCCGAGGAAGTGGGATGAGAGGGAGACGAAGCGGCCATAGTCGCTAGTTAGTGGTAGAGGTAGTACGCAGCCATAGCTGCTAGAGGTTAGAGGTAGACTACAGCGTGTATGAGAGTGGGTGTGCAGTGAGTTGTGTGCGTGCGTGGGATATACAGGGAGATCCAGAATAGCGTGCGTGTGAACAGTGCTGAGGATACAGTGTGGAAGGGAGTTGTGAGGGCGCCCAGGCGCCATAGCCATTTGAAGCGAGTTGAATCTGAACTGCGTTCTTCGCCACGATATCTCTGAGCTTTGTGTGGGCACTCGTCGCCAGTGTGATTGCCATCTGTTTTCATGCATGCGGAGTAAGAAGAAGACGAGTCTGATTGCATTGGTATCGGAGCTGGTTCCCGCTGTTCCACCCGCCATCGTCGTCGTCAAGAGGAAGAAGGATCCGCCATAGTGGCGGCGCTGCAGAAAGACGCTGTGTACATGCACAAACAACGACGACGAACAAGGGGAGAGAGAGAGAGAGAGAGAGAGAGAGAGAGAGAGAGAGAGAGAGAGAGAGAGAGAGAGAGAGAGAGAGAGAGAGAGAGAG